TCAAAGCCAGGTGAGGCATATCCACCACTGGAGCATGGGGAGGTGCAGACAGACAGACAGACAGCAGCTCAGGCTCTAAGAGCACACACCACCAGCTCATGACTAGTTTCTCATGGTGCCTGTTCTGGTGGTAGGTCATGCTCCAGCATTAATGAGTCCTCCCCCCACCCTCCCACAGTGAGCTGACAAATAATCAAAATGGTCTTAAAAAGTCAATCAACTCTGTGCCAAGTACTTGAAAGTGGAAAACTTTAGGAAAAAAATGTATTTACTAAGAATTATATATCTAGAAAGAAACAATTCTGCAATTTGTTCCTAAAACTTCCTAGTTGGAATGTCCATAATCTAAATCTTATTTGGCAGACCAACTTAAAAACACTTGAACATTTGAAGGAAGATGAAATAAGCAATGAATGACAAACATCAAATAAATAATTTAGAATCAGATAAAAATATTTCTTTTTTTTAACCTCTAAATGCTATTATGTTGCTTTGTTATTAATTTTGTTGGCTTGGGTTTTTTTTTTTAATTTGTATTCAACACTTTAAAAAATTAGGAAATTTGGAAATAATTGCAAATAAAGGGCTGGAGTTATGTAAGAGGAGAAACTGATGGGAGCTCCAACCCTGTAGCTGTGCTGCTCATTTGCCATGCCAGAAGCACATGAAGGCATCCTTTTCCTCACTCCTTGCACCCAGTGATTGAAACCAGCACTGCCTGACATCAAGAATCTGCCCTAATTTCAAACATGCTCCAGGATGGCTTTCACTGCACATGTCCATGTTTGCATCTTAGCTTAGGACTGATATTCTGATGCCTCCTTTCCACCCCTGCCACCACTGGGGTTGGAGCACAGAGCTGTCCTGGGCCAAAGCAGCAGCATCAGCCCCTCGATGGAGCCAGAACAGGAGCTGTGCCCCAGCTCCACTGGGCAGCCAGACCTCACCCCCAGACCAGTCCTGGTCCCAGGAGCCAGCCCTGGAGCAAGGACAGTGTGGACACAGGGCCCAGCAACTGTAAAATCACAGTGAGAATCCACAGTCTTCAGGTGAGCTTTTACAAACCAGAGGAGTCAGCTGCTGCCTGAGGATTCACGTGCCGCAGATACCTGCCCATAC